AAACCCAGACATCGGGTATGCGTGGTACCCGACTGCGGGCTCGTGAAATACTTTTTCCAATAAATTTCTAACTCAGGAGCCAGGAAACCTAGGAAGCTGAAATTTGAAAGGGGTGCTTCCTGCAAGTTTTGGCAGTTAGTCTTAGTTTGTTTAGCTAGAAGGGTCTGCCGAAAAAAAACCGATACCGGTAGCGACAAAAGCTACGGGGATCAATGCAAAAAACGCATCATCGCACGGGCAGCCCGTGCGTTGACCAGTTATTTCTTCTGTTATGCAGTTTAAAGTAACTTTACGGGGTATGTTTTAAATCGATTCCGTCAAAGGAATTCAATTATCGTCGTGCAGATCTCAATATTCCTCTTGTTTTTGTAGCATATTAATGGTGAAGCGAGAGAGGTGTAGCACTCATGATTGAGAGGCGCGATTTTTATGCGCTAATTTGATAAGAACTGTGAGATAGATGGTGGGCAACTTGAAGTAGCTAATTGAATAACTCGGTTAATGAATAACTGATTGATAGTACTACCATATTTATCAAGACGTTCTAGCAGTCTATTTGTGGGGCCAAGCACTAGGCCTCCGAAGATCGCTCTAATCATTTTCGACCAAAATGCGCCTTTAAACCAGTTAATTAGCAAATATGCTCTGGATAGTTCTCTTAATACGTCTTTAGTCTTAAATAATCAACTTTCCACACTTCTCACGCACTGCTTATGCAAATGTGGGACTGCGTGTTATCGTTGCTGCTTAGTTACAGTCGGTCTGTGCGGTTCATTTTGCAAAAGCATGAACGATGGACTCGCTGCCTGGCGTGGTGCCTTATTCGATAGCTGCATTCCTCTCTTTCCTTCCTTCTCTTTTGCTGTTATTGACGTTGTGCGTTCAGATGTTTTTGCAGTTTGAATGGAGCTTGCAATTTTTTAGACGAAAAAATACACTTTTTCAGTTAGCGGCGGCGCTTGGTGGCTCGGCCAGTGGCAACCCTGTTTTGACATCGTTGGTTAGTAGTGGCGTTAGAAACGTTCTCAGATCGCCGGTGCAAACCGAACAGGAAATGTTCAGTGTCGCAAACAGTGGGTTCGTGTAAGTGTTCCGCACTGCGTTCCGTATCTTCATCTGTGCTACATAACTGCTCATTTTACTTTAGTGCAGATGTTACGTCGCAAATTGTTGTAGAGAGTTTTTTATGCGTTTTGTGCTGTATAACAGCAGTACAAAATGCATATTGTCACGGGGTTGTCTGTGTGTGTGTGTCCGCACCAAGTTGTCCGCAACTTTTAACTCGAGAACCACGAAAGCTAGGAAGCTGAAACTTTGGGGAAACGTTCCTCACTTACGCGCGACCCCGCAAATTTAAATTCAACCTCTCGTACCCGCGGATAGCACGTACAGCCTCGTAAAATTTTGGGCGGGTGAAATTATTATCACGGGAACCACAGAAGCAAGAAGGCTGAAATTTTGTGGGCATGTCCCCCACCCGTGTGCTACCCAGAAAATTTAAATTCAGCTTCCCCCTGCCTGCAGGTAACATGTACGGCCCCACGAAAATTTTTGACGAGTAAATTATTATCGCGAAAACCACTGAATATACGAAGCTGAAATTTTAGTGTAATAACTTCCTGCCCACGCTCGACCTTGCCTGTTCAAGTCCAGCGTTCCCGCGCTTTCGGGTATCACCTATGGTCGCGAAAGTTCTGGCGGGTAAATTATTATCTCGGGAACCTCCGAATATACGAAGCTGAAATTTTAGTACAGTAACCCTCAGCCCACGCTCGACCTTGCCCATTGCAATTCAGCTTTCCCGCGCTTTCGGGTATCACCTACGGCCCCGTAGAAATTTAGGTGGAGAAATTATTATCTCGGGAAGCTAAATTTTATGGTAATGTCTTCTTTCCTCATACAATCCTGCAATTTTAAATTCGGCTTCCCGCGCGTCCGAGTATCACTTACGGCTTCGTGAAAGTTTCGGCGGGGCAGTGGAAATCATTAGCAGGCAATCTTTCGGTGAACGGAATTGCACAAAACGCATGATCGCACCGGCCGCCCTGGTGCGCGCCGCTATTATTAAACGTTGTTATTTTGAAATCACTCAAAAAATGGTTGTTTTTAGGCCATATACATTCAGTCCACATACTTCACAATCGGAACACTCTCTATTCGATCATCAAACTGCTTCAGCAATGTCGTCAGATTCCATAAGTTCTGGTCCATCTTCGCATCTGTCCAATGCTCCCGGTTCAGAAATACTTCGTTTCCCGAACAGCGGCAGCAGTAACAGCAACACATTCATCCCAGCCAGCAGAAATTCTTGAAAATCCCGCGAACGACGAAACATCGGCTGATGGGCGCTTCTTTCAATTCGTGGTTCGGTTCGGTTTATTAATCCGGTATTTGTCTCCTTTTCTTCCTCCTTCATTCTGCATCGGTAATAACGCGTTCTTTCTAAACTGAGCGGTGCAAAAGACTCGATGTGTAATGTAAATTAATTTCAGATACGGCCAATCTGTCTGGTGTAGGCTTGCTACATTCATGCCCGGGTTTTGAAATTTGTAGCTGCACGAGAGATTCAGTCTTGACCAACCGACGGTAATCATCCAGGAGTACTTTTATTTATGCCAGTCTCGTCCCGGGGTTTCTTTACCATGAAAGTCCCTCGATTGATTACGCACGTGCAGCTTACTTGTTTCAAACAGTGCCCGCCCCAGCCCGCCTCATGCATAATGTATTTCGTGTGTTTTTAATACTGATCGACTCACGGCTTTTTTGCGCTTAATGTTCTGGATGTATGGGTTGATGCTGTTTATTTCCGAGTTTGTACAGATTTCCAGTGGTAAGATTACGGAGCAGGCAAGGACTGATTTTAACACTGAGCGGTGGTTTCGCGCCCACGACTTCTCTACGCATTGCATCTCTTGTATTTTAGAAATTTTTTAAATCTAATCCATTTCTGAATCTTTGCGGGCAAAACAGGGGCCTCTAATGTGTACAGAACTGCTGAAAGCCTTCCCGGTTTTACGCTAACAACAACGGCTTGTAACACAATTTGTTACTTGTTGCTGGTTTTCCGAGACACCCTGGTCCCTTAACGTCTTTAATTTGGTTAGCCCGGAGAGAGCGGAATGAGATCGGAGGGATGCGCATTGTTTTATGCGGATAAATGCACTGCGATCAGTGGTAGTACTTGCTGTCATTCATTAGGTTATCCTCGGTATGTGTTTGTGTGTCTTTCTAGTTGAAATTTTAATCCCCGTGTTGCACTTTTTTGGTTTTTCTTGCGGATCTCTGTTAACGGTTCATTGTTATTATCGTTATCACAGCACACACACACACACACA